TATTTATAATTTCTAAGTTAAAATTATTGGATAATTTCCAATTATTATAATTCAAGAAATTAAAGTAATTAAATAAATGAATGCAGAAGAATTAAAGAAATATCTGACAAAGAAGGATTTTTATTCATCTTTAATTGTTTGTTACAATTATTATTTGAACACTATAAATTTATTTACAGATGTTTACATTAATACTGTTACAATGATTAAAGGTAATTTAAAACTATATCCTAAATTTTCCTAAGTCTTCATCTTCTACTGATGCTCCCCATTGACCAACTGATATTTATCTGCAAAAAGAGAAGAAAGAAGTCAGTACAGATGAATTTGAAAAAAACATTCTCAGACAGTTAATCATAAAAGCTCATCATTAAAAGTGTTGGCCGGAATCAGTTTGTTCGCCCTCTCTGCAAATCACAAGAAAATTCTTGGTTCACAAAGAGGGAAAGGAAATATGTTTGCAAATATAAAAATGTACAAGGCAGCATATTAAACAAAATGGACAAGGCTGTATAATTTCAAATTGCAAAGTGTCAACAAAATTGTCAAAATACACAAACTGAATATGCCAAACAAATTACAAAGTCCAAACTAAATTGCACATATGCAAACTGAAAAAATGCCTAACCAAGTCCAAAATGTCAACCAAACTGTCCAAAAGCTGTCAAAACTGTCCAAAGAAGATATCAAAGATATGCAGGAAATCTGGAAAAGAAGAAAGTACACAGAGCAAAGCTAACAATGCAAGAAAACATATTCAAATCTTATCATCATTTTCCAGCCACACTTTTTCAGAGTAAGTACAGTCTAAAGCAATAAAAAATGCTTTTTATCTATGGAGAGAGAAAAGAGAGAGAGAGAAGGGGAAGGCTTACAGTTTTGCAGGCTTAGGCTAGAGATATAAAACAAGATATACCAGAACAGTAAAGGAGGAGGCAGAACCACATAACACAAACAAGCCAAAATCCTCCAAACTGTGTCAAGAACTTCAAGCCTCATGTCTGCCTAAACAATAATACAAAGCTTGCCTCCCAAACTGTATCAACACAAGCCTGTAGCCTCAAAACATAATAAGCCTGTACCAATACAAAAAACCAGAAATGGCCACAAACCTGCATAATACATCGAGCCATACAAGCCTGAAGCCTAAACCTTAAGCTTTCAAACCAGAAATCCCAACAAACCTGTCAAACTGTTAGTTTCAAAGAAGCAAGCCAAAGCCTAAACTTCAAACCTGTCACAACAGCCAGCCTTTGACCCAAATAAGCCAGCAAACTGATAAGCCTTGAAGCCTGAAGTCAGTAGCCTTCTAAAGTCCAAACCAAATATCCAAACTCAAAGCATTCAAGCCAAAAAAGCCCTCAGAACGAATTCATCATAGGGCTAACATAAACATACTCGGAATCATCATCATCAAACTCAGAAACAAGCAAACAGAGGCAAGCGATCAGAAGAGGAAAAGAAAGCTATACAAGGGTTTTCAGACATTCATCATAAAACCAAAAGCAAAATACAAATACCAGGAGGGTCATAAAGCCAGCATCACGTACTCCCACGCCTCCGGCCGCCTAAGACACCTTTGGTCTAAGTTCTCCGTCTCCTCTCCAAAGGTAGTGATTTCTTCTCCCTTTTTACACACCTCACACAAACAAAGATAACACATAAAAATCAATAACGTGTAAGAGACAAGACATGCAAGAATGGAAATCTGAAAACCCTAAAAATGCGTTAAGACAGAAACAAGGCTACCTTTTTTCATCGTGGCCTGAATGATCATGGGGAGAGGAGAGATGGACGGTGGCGTCTGACATCTGAGGTGTAGAGGGAGCGTCAATGGCCTTGGCTTGAGAAAGCGAAGAGGACGAAGAAGAAGATGGAAGCGGCGCCTCTGTAAAACTGTAACCCTAATCTGAGTAACAACAAAACAAACCCTTAGAAAAATTGTCAAACCTTTGGGCCTCTGCCCCATTAACATGCCTAAGCCCATTTCCATTCTAGCGCCTTACCCCTCTTTCAGCGTACGTACCCCCCCCCTTTTTTTTCTCCTTCAAACTTTGTTTTGGGCCAAGAACAACTCTAAAGCCCACTTAACCCTTTTATTATTTACTTTTTTTTCTTATACTTATAAATTAACACCTTTTTCTTATTACCTTATTTTCTTTCCTTTTTACAATCTATATTTTTTGTTAAATTAAAAAGTAATATATTAATTCTTCATATTTTTATTACTAATACTTTCTATCACACTTGAAATGTAAATATTAGATTTTATCAAGTTTAAACAATTTTTCTTTACTAAAACCTTTTCTTTTGTTTAATTAGATCTTGTACATAAAAAACATCAAAAAATATATAAATAATTAGTTTGTTTTGAATTAATTACCTTTTTCTTTAAAACCCTTTTATTTATATAGCATTAACATAAAAAACACAAAAAAGGAATAAATAAATACTTAATAATACATTAGGTTAATAATCTTAATCATGTGTAAATAATCACATACACTTTCACAAATACTTTTATTTCTCTTTGATTCTTATACTTTGCTATATTTTACATTGAGAATGCGATTCAATTTGGTTGTAAATATTATTTGGACACTACTATCCTGAGAAGACTCATCCTCATTTGTAAATATTTGTACCCCCATTCCCGGATACTTATTTGTAATAGCTTAGACTTTAAATTCCCGCAATTTATCGCTTTTCATATACTGTATAGTAATTAGGGTTTGTATGCGAAGATTCAAAATCAACCGCTAGATAACCTAATACAAATATAAATGCATGACAATCAATACACAATTCACACTTGCACCCCTAGGGTAATCCCGCTTGTTGCCTTCAAAAATGGGCCATGTTTGCATGTTGAGTTTCTTTGGCAAAACAAAACAAATCAAATGATCATAGTCCCTTGATGACGCTTTCTCAAGTTGCCTAAAAAATGATCAAGTCCCTCAAAGAGAAAATTGCCAAAGACACTTGGCACTATTGCATTCATGGTCTAAACGATGACCCGCGCCCGTCCCGTTAACATCCTAACACAAGATTGTCCACCAAATACAATGGTGGAACAATATTGTTAAAAGGGTTAAAACATAGGAAAGATCTTTGAGAAATTTAGGGGTAGACAATTCTTAGTTACTTGATCAAACTTGCAAAACGCACTTGCCTACTTTCAAAACACACTCCACAGCACAACTTTCAAAAACATTGAAACATCTTTTCAAAAAGACAAACACCTTTGTAAAACATTCGAGTAAAGAATTGTTACAATGGTTGCCTAAACAAGGCATCTTTTTCAAAACATTTTCAAAACCACACACACAAAGCACCATTTCAAACAATTGAAAATGCAAGGCAAATGATCTAAGCAAGTAACTAAGAGCCCATGGATAACCATGGATAGAAAGGGTGCTAATACCTTCCCTTTCTATAATCTACTCCATGAACCCAAGAAAACATCTCAAAGGTTTTTGCTGTGCTTTTTAACCTTTCCTTAGGATAAAATAAAAAGTCGGTGGCGACTCTTGCTAAACTGAACAAGTGCGAATACAAACGCAAAACCTCAAGTCAGTTCTCCCACCGTATCACAACAATTAATAGTCATTTGTCCAACAGATAATATTGTTGTCGTCTTTTGTTCATTTCATTGGAAAATTGATCAAATCACGAAAAAAATTATTACAAAGTAAGTTTGTTCTTTGTGACTTTTGTTATAATATATATATATATCTTGTATACATAAATTGTTACAAAAGGAATTTCATATTTTATGTGGCTTTATATAGATTTTTTTCTTCTGAATTAGTGCTTTTGAGATTCATCAAATTGCAAATAGAAATGGAACAAAGGCTACACGGCTTCATCCCAATGTAAGTGTGATGTATATTATAATTCTATATTTAATTTTATGATAAGTATTCACTAATTATGTCATTCATTTGTCTAGATAAGGCGATAACATAACTATAATGATTGTGGATACTATGTGATAAAAAATATATTAGATATTGTCTCTGCCAATATAAATGATTCTTGGATGCAGGTAATAAAAAAAACATCACTTTTTTATTTACTTTGTGTTTTTCAACTTAATGTGAATTTTTAAAGAATAACTCTATATTGTTATTTACGTATTGTAGGTATTTGATGACCGAAAAAAATTGACACAAGATGATTTGTATGATTTGCGACTTTGTTGAGCAAAATGTTTCTTTGAGATATATAAAAATTAAGCTTTATTTGGTGAGTTATATAGAATTGTCTATACATATCTAATTTGAGTTTTTTGGTTTTGGTGTTGTCTGCTGATGTTAATTGATGTTATTATTTATTGTCAGCATATGTGATTTTGGTGTTGTCTACTGAAGCTACAACTCATCTTCTTGTGGATTGCATGTTGGTATTTCAAGTGTGGATATTTTTGTATAATTTAATTGGCTTTGTTGCTGTAGTAATTCACCGTGTGCAAACTTCCTTATAATTTTGTACACTTGTGTGTAACCTAGATTAATACTTTTATAAATCAATTGTTCATTTTGAAGAATATATATGTGCATCCTAACTATTTGGTTCAATGAAATTACCTTTCATTAGTTAGAAAAATATGAAATTAGCGACCTAAATGTGATATGTGTGATGTGGTAAAAAAAAACTTCAAATAATAAAGAGAAAGCATCGATTAAAAAATTCTTAAACTCAAACTTGTACTCAAACCACATATATTATAAATAACAGAATTATAATTAATTTGTTCTAGCAAATTAATGTAACTCTGAATATACATAATAATAACACCACCACTTTTTTATTTATGATTCTTAAATACATATCACAAGTTTGAAGCTACAATACATTTGATATAGCTTTGTTATCTTATACTAATAATAACTTAATAATCCAAAGATAATAGTATAGCTTACAAACTTAAATGACATCATTAGTATTTAAGAATAGAGTACCTCATAGATATACTAGTATATAGTTAAGGGTGGTTCTTAGCAGTTTGGAATGGTAACACCACAAGATCTAGCAACATTTCTAGAACCAGGAGAGTTAACATACTGTTTAAAGTTAGGGTTTCTAGCGTATTCACATAGGCATGGCTTTTGATCATTCAATCTGCTGCAACAACCAGGAGAAGGTGATGTGTTTGACATGATTGCCCCTAGACATGGGCTCAATTGCATTGGATCACAGTTTGCAGCCTGAGCAATGGAAACAGCCTCAACCATAAGCACTAGAGCAAGCATCATTGCAGACATGGCTTTCATCTTCATCATTCTCACTAGATTGATCTCTACTTGGGTGGGGATTGAAGAGATTTTTGAGAGTGAGTTGTGTTTGATGAATTGGGTGTGTATGTAGTATTTATATGCACGGATGTTAGTGCGTTTGGTTAGGTGTTCGATTCAATGAATATTTAATGCACCTTAATTTTAGTGGAGAGCTATGTATCATTGACATTGTACCGACAAAAATAATAATGGCCGTTGAGATGGAGTTATTATGCATTAACTCCACTTCTATTTTGTGGCATTTGGCATTTTTTTAACAATAGGTTTTGTTTTTGCACAAATATGGAGGTTTATCACTCAATTAATATATCGAATAGTTGTGATAGATTGAAAATATAAAATTTTTTATACCAAAAAAACACATACCAATTAATCTCATTAAAAACTCACATCAACTTTTATGAGAAAGAGAAATGTCTAAGGAACAATTTTAGTTAGTTAGTTTTGATTGAAAATATGAAAACTTATACTTAAATAGAATGAAAACAACAACAAACTTCTTGTAGTGATAGGAAATTAAAAATTAAAACTTTTTCTCCTATAAAAAAAATTAAAACCCTTTCTCTTATAAAAATTTAAAACCCTTTTTCTCCTAATTAAAATTTAAAACTCTGTTTCTCCAACTTAAACCTAAAACTTAATATCCTTGTGAACAAGGTAGATAAAATGTGCCTAACACCTTCCTTTCGTCTAATGAAGTCAGAAACCTAGAATCTCTGTCTGCGAATTAGGGTTTTCTGTTAGATTCATTTCTCTAGGATAAAAACTAATAGTGGAGACTCTGATTTAAAAACCAGTTGCTACAACTAGATCAAGGATTCTCAATAGGAAAGGTTGACACAACCCTTTTTATTAAGCATAAAGGAAAACATTCTATTTTAGTTCAATTATATGTAGATGACATTATTTTGGTTCTTCTAACATATCTTTGGTCAAAGAATTCTCAAAGCTAATGCAGGGAGAATTTGAGATGAGCATGATGGGGGAGTTAAACTACTTCCTTGGACTTCAAATCAAGCAACTAAATGAAGGGACATTCGTGAGCCAAATGAAATATTTCCTTGAACTACTCAACTGATTCGACATGACAAACTCAAAAGCAATCGATACTCCTATGCCTACGGCCGTGAACTTAGACCGAGATGAAAATTGTAAACATGTCGATATAAAATGTTTTAGTGAAAGCTCTCATAAATCTTCATGAAGGTAATATCCATCCTATCTATTTCCCCTTCTTGATCATATATATATATATATATATATATATATATATATATATATATATATATATATATATATATATATATATATATATATATATATGTTTATTTAGGTCATCTTTTTTCTCTACATTCATTATACTATTGATATGCATGTGTGGTTTATTGTTACTTCCCCTATTACATGACTTTCTTTTAAAAATGTAGTAAATCTCAAAATATCGCAGCATAATTCGACCCACAACAAGATTGTGTCGATGCACTCTTATATAAACTCTTCAGTATCATTTTTTTAACACTGCGTCGGTGCACGACCTGGTTTGGTCGACGCGTCTCACAAATTTTCAAAATTTTATTTGTATGTTGTGGGGTTGTATTAATTCAATTATCTTTATTTCTTCCAAACCCCACGAACTCTAAACTCCTCTAAACCAAAAAAGAAATTCCCTCTACTCTAAACTCTTCAAGAAAACTTCATCATGGTCACATCTAGGGTTGCAAAGAAGAGAACCCTCAGAGGTAGTTCCTCCAACGCTCCTTCCGAATCTCCGGTAAATGCTCTTTCTCTTCTCTGTTATAACATAGATGAATCTTATGAAGCTAAGTTTGGAAAGAGAAAGGTTGTTAAGCAATTTTTTTTTGGAAATGACAACTTTGGGTCATTTACACCTTCTTGAGGTCATTGATCTTATTAGATTTCAGAAACTTCACAACTTTCTTGAATGTAAGGATAAGTATAATGAAGATCTGGTTAGGATATTTTTTGCGGGTGTCCAAGGAAATTTTGAGAATTTTTGAGTTTAGGTATATGATGAATAACAAAAATTATATGACTAGTTCTCATGTTTGGAAACATTTGGTTCAGATGTGCTATGTTGACTCTGATTCAATTAAATTTTTTGACTCTAATGTTGCTCCTGGATATGAATTTAAGACTGCTTTGAACTTTATGCTCAAGAAACCCTACACTGAGCGGATTGTGAACAATAATCTATTTCCCAAGTCTGTGACCACAAGTGCCCTAGATCCTCTTGATAGGATTTTGTTTTGGATCGTTTGCCACATCATTCGACCCAAAAAGGGTGGGTACTCTCGCATGGACAAGCCAGAGATTCAGCTCATGTATGTGCTTAAGAACAAGATCAAGATTCATTGGCCATACTACTTTGCTAGCACGATCTTCGATCTACACAAGTCTGAGAGAGGGACTGCACTATGTTACCCATCATTTATCCAATGAGTTCTCAATAGAGAAAGTATTCGTGTTCCTGGTATCTCTTACATGAGTTTGGGTAAGGACCAATAATTCTCCAAAAAATCACTCACCGTAATGGGTTTTCTGTGGGATTTCCAAAGGCAAAGATACAAACACATTGTAAGAAGTAACCGTGTACAATTCAGGAACAGTAATGTTGAAGAGGATGAGGAAATTGATATTGGGAGTGAAGAAGAAGAAAGTGATGAAAATGCTGAAGATATGGATGAGGATACTCCTGTTGCTCAAAGCGATAACCCTAGTGTGTTAGCTCAATTGGAAAGGATGGAAATCCAAAAACATGAATATGCTTCTCTTCAAAATGACTCAATCTCTAACCTCTACAATATTATCAAGGTCCAAAGTGAAACCTTCCATGGCATGATTCAAACACAAGATGACAACTTAGCCTCCTTCCAATCCACCTTCATGCAACACTTTCAGCATCCTCCTCAACAAGGTCCTTCAACCCAAGACCAAGACCAAGACCAAGACAATGAAAATTGAATCTGCTTTGTGTCTTGTTTTTAGCTTAAATTTCATCTTGCTAAAATTTGTCATGTTTTGCCTAACTTTATTTGCTTTCCTTAAACCTAATTTGTGTTTGTTTAAGTTTATTTGTCATTTAGTATATATAGTACTTTGTGATGATTGTTCAACTATCTCATTTGCACTATTTTTCATTTTATGTGAATGGTCTTTAGTGCGTTAAGGTGAAAATTTATAATCTCTACTCTACTTTTAATTGCTACTATTAATTAAATGCTTTTCTCTTTTTGATGTTGTCAAAGAGGGAGAAGTGCTATGAGAGTGAGATAGACTTACAATTTCTGAGTTCTGAAGATGTGCACAAACTCAAGGAGAGTTCCTTTTCTTATGTCATTTATGGTATTTTTTTATTTGACAATATTGTGTAGGTTTTGCCATCATAAAAAAGGGGGAGTATGCGAGGGCAAGATTCATGTTTTCATGATGTCAAAATCTCTTCTATCCTCAATGACATGTGTGCTACATAAAATATACTGGGGACAAAGTATGGGATGCAAGCTTGGATGAAAATAACCTTTTTGGCAAGAAAAATGAAGCCTGCGTCGATGCAAAATAGCTCCAATCGACTCAAAGCTTTGTGCTTCTCCTGGGTTATATTGTGCCGACCCCTTGGTCGAGTCAACCTGATGGTCAAGAAAATTGAGAGATACGTCGGTGAAACCCCATGGTGTGGTCGACACATTCAAGTTGTTTGGCTCATCTCCTAGGCGCGGGTTGTGTTGCACCGAACCAAGCCTCTGGAGCGGTCGATCGCTCACTTACCATACTCAAAATTTTGTTTGTCTTATTTTCATTCTTTCTCAAATATTATTTGTTTTACTAACACATATAAATGGAGTTTTGATTCCTTTTGAGTAGTTAACAAGAACTAGTGAAAGATACACATAGTGCTCATTATCTTCATCCTCTCTTCTCAAAAATAAACATCTACACATAATCATGATTGTTGATTCAAGAAAAGTGTTGTGGTGATAACGTTCAAATCAAAGATTCAATTCAGATTTGGGTTGAGCAATTGTGGGTTGTTCTTGAGTAAAATCATTTGGATTTTCTCCTCCAAGATTCTAATTGGTGCGGGGGGTTTTGCACAAATCTTTGCTTCATCGAGTTCAGTCGAGTGAAAGGATTAAGAAACTATGGGTTTACTTAATCAAGTAGCGGTAATCGGAGGATTGTGAAGGAAGATTATGGGTCAAATTTCTTGCGATCGAAATAAACCGAGTGAAAGTATTGCAAAACAAGAGTTCGTGCAAATCAAGTAGCGATAATCGGAGGTTTGTTCGATGAATTTGGCACTTGGTTTGGGTCAAACCAAGGAAAGGGAAGAAGACTGTTACATCAATAACATTGATTTGTTTGTATTGTGAACTATCTCTTCTCTTGTAACATTTGCATCTTAATATCAAATATCTCAATTCTAGATTCTAGAATTGGGGACAGACGTACCCTACGCGAGGACGACAAGGGGAACTGCCTTAACAAATCGTATTTTCTTCTTCTTTTTCTTTACTTCCATACTTGACTACTATAATTTATGGGAATTAAATTATCGAATTTGCTTGTACTAAAATTATGGTGTGTTGAGATCATTTCACAATATTGGTAACAATTCATTTGATTGATACCTAAGAAAATTCACCTCTACAATTTAGTAAAATCAAACCTAAGGTGCTTTTCACATAATATGTTTGAAAAATTGATTCATCCATAAATTATTCATTATGTTTAGATTTATCTTAATCAACTCATTGGAAGTAATTCATACTCATTGAGGATGTTTAAGTGATTGACCAATTGAGTAAAACATATTGATTCTTACTTTGTCATCCTATCCCATACAGTTACGCATATCCAATCTTTTCAATAAATGATCGTTTAGACGATTAGATATTTCGGGAGCTTTCACATATATTTCTGAAAAACAATTTTAAAAAGCACAAATAATTTTTTAAATGATCTAT